ATTATAGTAAATTTACTATAATAAAAAATTCACTATAATGAGAGTACTATAAGAGGTTCACTACAATGAGAGTATTACAAGAGGTTCACTATAATGAGAGTATATATATATATAATTTATGTACTTACTGTACAGTAAGTACATATACAATATGCATGTATATTTTTTATTTATCGTTATTGTTGGTAGTAGCCAAATTACGCACTATTCATTAGGAGTTTAGTGTAACAAATATAGTTTTTGATAATACTTGTATAGTGTTCACACAGGCCGAGTCAGATCAGTCATGAGTCAGGTCCGCATAGGCCATGGAACGACCCGGCCTGGCCCACAGGCAATTGATTTACATGACCTGCGGGTCGGCCCATGGGCTGACCCGCAGGTTTAATGACGTAATAATTTTACCAAATAGTGATAGCGATAATGATAAAAGCAAAAAATCTTTTCTTTCAACAGATTTAATCTTTATACTGAAATGGAACTCATTTAATAATAGGTGCATCTAATATTGTAAGAATATTTGAAGCTTGTCTTGATACTTTGATAATAACAGATAAGTGATTCCATATAAAGCCTTAAAAAGTATATTTAATTGTTAAACTATTACAGCATTATTTATTTTAAACCTATTCTAAATTTAAGTTCTAAAATACACCTTCTGGTGTCTCTTTTCAAAAGGTGTTAAAAAAAAGAACGATTTTAATACTTACTGGAGGTGAAATTCACCAGGTATGCTATTTTTCAAAAGTGGCATTAATACTTAATGCTTGAAGTACAAGTAAAAAAGTTTAACGCCCTAAAAAATTCAAATCTATAACTTTTACTTTGATTCTAACCATAATCTAAAGTCTAATTTTAACTTAGATAAAAAAATTCTGAGACATAATCAAAAAAAAAAATATCACCTTTGGCGATTTCTAAATTCAAAAAAAAAAAAAAAACCTTTGGCGATTTCTAAAAAAAAAAAAAATTTAAGCTCTTATTTCTTTCTTGAGCCAACTTTTTAAACATAAGCTGGCACGTGCTGTCGAAGGTTTAAGCCGATTTTTTCTTTTGCTAAAAGTGTTACCAGCAATGCTAAAAGCTTGTTCATAGCTTACGCTGGTGGCTTATAATACCAAGTAATCTTTTGCTATTAAGCTTAATACAGGAAATTCATTAGCATGACAAAACCACCATGTCAATGGTTCGATCCCAAGATCTTCAGCTAATATCAAATAGCGATCTAATTCATTGTTATGTGAACTAAGTAAATGGTTATGATTGCGATTGTTAAGACGAGCAAAATACCCATATAGATTTTGGGGCATTTCAGAAGATGTTAAAAAAGTAGTAGGAGTAGGAGCAGTACTATAATTAAGTTGAAGATAAGTATGAAAAACATTTTTAATTATACTGATGGCAGTAATTCGTTTTTCATCTTCAAAATCTGACAATTTATATCTTGGATCTAGAATAGTTGAGATGATACACTGATCATCCATTATTTCCCAATATAATTCAATTTTTTGAAAAATTGATAAAGCCATTTCGCATTCTTTAAATTCAGATTTGCCAATATAAATATCAAGGTGTCTTTGGATTGCCAAAAATACTCTATGCACTAAACCCATCGTAGGATATGAAGAGACAGAGAGAAGTTTTGTTGCTTTTTCCATTGGTTCAAGTAAAATTAGTGTATTATTAATATGATCTAAATCCTCTAAATTTGGAAAAATTTCAGCTAACTCGCTATAGTTTATAATTAATATTCTTAAAACATTTTCGATTTTTTTAAACTTAGTAAGCATATAAAACGTACTGTTCCATCTGATTTTGATGTTGATTTCTGGGGCTAAATAGATAATATTTTTTAAAACACATAAAGATCGAAGTTCATCACATAGTACTATTGAGTTTTTAATTTTTAACATTAAATTTCGCGCTTTACTGACTGATGCACTGACTAACTCTAATCCTTGCTTTACGGCTAAGTTGATAACATGAGCGGTGCAATGATAGTGGACAAAGCTGTTATTATGAAATTCTTGAATTGATGTCCACCTAATTCTCTACCTAAAGCGATCATTACAGATTCGTTATCTGTGATTAGTCCAATAATTTTATTGTTAAAAGAGAATTCGTCAAGAAGATATATAAATTGATCTACAAGGTTTCATGCTGTATGACGCTTATTAAATGGAATAATATCTAACAAAAAATGTTCAAATTTCCACTCAATATTTAAAAAATGAATTGTTACTCCCATAAATACTTCATTATTCATATTTGACCATAAGTCAAGAGTAAAAGCTATTTTACTTTGAATTTGGTTTAAATCATTTTTAATTTGTATTCGATGTAAGTCGAATTTAGACATAATCATATTCTTAATTTTTGATAGACTGGGAACCTTATATCATGAATCTAATTTATGTACAAATTTTCTAAAATGTTCATTTGTTACTACTAAAAATAGTTGCTGATGACATACAATCCATATTAATAAAAAAAAATCACGATCTTTTTGATCTCTTTGGTTATGCGGATAGGATCATTCAAATTGGAATTTTAATTTATAAAGTTTGCCTGGTCTAATACCATGCTTTCTTTCTAAATGCCTTCATAATGTAGTAGTTGAAAAAAACTTTTTTGTAAATTGTTCATTACACTTTAAGCAATATGGAACATTATCTTTTTTTTAAAAAAATTCCACACAGGAGATAATGATGCAACACGTGAATTTACTTAACTTGCAGAGTCATTAGGTGTAATACTGCTGGATGAAGTTGAATTATTATTTTCATCAGTTAATATATCCTCCATGTCACTCAAACCGTATAACTCTTCTGCATTATGTTCCAATTCATTTATGTTTATATTTTCCATTTTTTTTCAAAAAAAATATAAGAAGTATTATTATTTTATGAACTTGAACACACAAAACAAGAATATAACATACGCTCTATTTATATTAATTCATCAGTTTTTTTTCTTTCTTATATTCATTATTAGCCTATTATAGATCTGTTTTAGTTGTTATTTTTAGCACATTAAGACCGATTTTTTTTAATACTATTAGCCTATAACACTTTGTAAACATAATTACGTTTTTAACAAATCGAAACATTGTTTGTCCTCAACAAAATCTCTTATTGCTTGATTCAAGCAAAGCCAAGTTCCGATATAATTAGGATTCTT